GGCCTCCAGAAGAGTAAATATTGAAAATCCTCTGTTCCTCCCTAAGGAACATCCAAAATTTTGAGATTTTGAGCAATATAATCCCAGCAGTCAGAGTACCAGGACAAATAATAGGAAATGGTATACTCCAAAATGGAAAATATATCCTCATTTAAATATTCATGAGACCTATTCTATTATGCTGATGATTGAATTTGTTGTTTTATTGAAATGCTCTAAGGATCTTGGTTTGAGCTGAAGCTTTTTATCTCAGAAAAAAAATCCTTTAATGAGAAATAACAAGAATAAGGTGCTCATGTCAGTAAAAATTTTAGAAAATTTGTCAAATGTCAGAACATGTTAATGAAGTGGAATGACAAAAACTAGTCACTTCCCCCTACTTTAGTCACTTTTCTTCAACATAGTATTGGAAATCCTAGCCACAGGAATTAGGCAAGAAAAATAAATAAAAGGCATCCAAAATGAAAAGGAAGAAATAGAACTGTCAGTATTCGCAGATCACAGATGATGTGATACTATATTAAAAACTCTAAAGACTTCACCAAAAAACTATCAATGAATTCAGTAAAGTTGAGGACACAAAATCAATATACAGAAATCTGTTGCTTTTCTATATACTAATAATGAAATAGCAGAAAGAGGAATTAAGAAAATAATTCCATTTACAACTGCACCAAAAAGAATAAAATACTTGGGAATAAATTTAACCAAGGAGGTGAAACACCTGTACTCTGAAAACTATAAGACATTGATGAAGGAAATTGAAGATGACATGAATCAGTGGAAAGCGATACTGTTTTCATGGATTGGAATAATTAATATTATTAAAGTATTCATACTACCTCAAGCAATCTACAGATTTGGTGCAATCTCTATCAGAATACCAATGACATTTTTCACAGAACTAGAACAAATAATTCTAAAATTCTTATGGAACCACAAAAGACCCTGAATAACCAAAGTGATCTGGAGAAAGAGCATAATAAATGGAGGTATCCCAGCCCCAGATTTCAAACTATAGCACAAAGCTGTTGTAGACAAAACAGGATGGTACTGACACAAAACCAGACACGTAGATCAGTGGAAAAGAATGGGGAGCCCAGAAATAAGCCCACACTTAATATGGTCAGTTAATCTATGACAAAGGAGGCAAGAGCATACCATGGGGAAAAGACAGTCTCTTCAATTAGTGGTGCTGGGAAAACTGGACAGCCACATGCAAAAGAATGAAACTGGACCACTTCCTCACACGCTACACAAAAATAAATTCAAAATGGATTAAAGACCTAGATGTTAGACCTGATGCCATAAAACTCCTTGGAGAAAACAAAAGTACTGAACTCTGACATTAGTGGTAGCAATGGATTTCGGATTTGGCTCCTGAGGAAAGGATAGCAAAAGCAAAAATAAACAAGTGGGACTATGTCAAACTAAAAAGGTTTGCACAGTGAAGGAAACCATCAATAAAATGAGAAGCAACCTACTGAATGGGAGATTTTCACAAATGATGTATCAAACAAGGGGTTCATCCCCAAAATATATTAAAAAAAAACTCATGGAACGCACTATCAAAAAATATCTGATTAAAAAATGGGTGGAGGTCTTGAATACAGTAATTTTCTAAAGAAATACAGACTTCCAACAGGCATATGAAAAGATGCTCGGCATTACTAGCCACGAATAAAATGCAAACCAAATCCACCAGATATCACCTCACACCTGTCAAAATGTCTATTATCAAAAAAAAAAAAAAAAAAAACAAGAAATAAGAGGTGTTGGCAAGGATGTGGATATAAAGGGAACCCTTGTGTGCTGTTGATGGGAATATAAATTGGTGTAGCCACTGTGGAAAACAGTATGGCGTTTCCTCAAAAAATTAAAAATAGAACTGTCATATGATCCAGCAACTTCCCTTCTAGGTATCTATCCAAAGGAAATGAAGACAGTAATTTCCAAAAAGACACATTCACCCCTATGTTCATCAAAACGTTATTTACAATAGCCAAGATGTGGAGTGAATCGTTGTTTAGGATATTCAAAATACAACCAGAAGATTGAGTAGCGTCCAAATTCTCAAAAACTGGACATCTCCTCACTGAGCCATCCCTCTCCTGTCCCAGTCCATCAGGCCCTTAAAGAGTTTGATAGAGCACAAACCCTTGATTGAAAGGGAAAATAAAGAAACCCACAATATGGTAGTGAAGGACTCATGGACACACCTTCATGGCAGCCAGAAGTAGTGTGTAAGAAAGGAACATTGCATGCGAAAGGAAGGCATCGGCTCACGCTCAGAGAAAATGGAACGTAAGGAACAGAAACAGATTCCTCAAAATGGCTTAATTAGAGCATAACTTACACACTCAGAATTAATGAGAGTATAAATGTATTTTTAAATAGCTTAAAGACGAGGCACGTGGGTGGTTCAGTGGGTTAAAGCCTCTGCCTTCAGCTCAGGTTGTGATCCCGGGGTCCTGGCATCGAGCCCCTCATCGGGCTCTCTGCTCAGCGGGGAGCCTGCTTCCTCTCTCTCTCTCTCTGCCTGCCTCTCTGCCTACTTGTGATCTCTGTCAAGTAAATAAATAAAATCTTTAATAAATAAATAAATAAATAAATAGCTTAAAGACAAGGTGATAAAACTTTGGTGGGAGTGAAATGCAAGAGAAGTTGAAGGTCTAACAAATGAAGAACAAAAATGACATCCATACAGAAATGATACGTAGATTAGGTGAATGTATAAGAGATCCTGTTGGAAATCTGTTCACTCACAGTAGAGAACCGTATTCATGTGATCACAGTAAATACAGATGAAGACAAAGAAATTGAAGGCAGAGAGAGCATGTAGAAGATAAGAAGACACTCAAACATCACACGATCTGAAGATAATAATTGGAGTCCCTGAAGAGAGATTCTAACAAATGGAACAGAGGTATCTTGAAAGATAAAAGAAAAATTTTCCTAGAAATGAATGAGGGCCAAGCCTACTCCAGCAGATATAATATAGAATGCTCAAAACCCAAACACATCATGGCTAAGCTGTTAAACCCCAAGGATAAAGAAATAATTCTTCAGGTGTCAAACTAGAAAAAGCCAATTTTCTGCAAGAGAGAGAAAAAAAAAAACAAAAAAACCAGCTGGCTTCAGATTTCTCTGTTGGTACATTTAGTGCCGGGTTATCTGAAAATGGATGAAGAATGTTACCCAAGGAGGTTCCATTCAGCACAGATGCTGTTAAAATAGAAAGACGACAGGGAGACGTGTCCAGACCTAAAGAACTAAAAGCAACTTTGAGATCTTTTTGAAAAAAAAGAATTGATAATGAGGTTCGGCCAATAAAAAATCTCAGAATAATCCAGAAATGGAGAAATCATGGTAAAATGACTGGTAAGAACCACGAGGTGTATTTAAATGGAGCCCCTGTCCTAGAGTCTGTGGATTCATGTTCCAGCTAGGCTATGAATGCTATTTAATTGATCAAAATAAAAATAATAACTCAAAAATATGGAAGATAGGATATCAGAAATAGGAAAAAACATAGGAATGTACTTATATTCTTATCTTTGCCAGTAAGGAGCCAATCAATACTGTCTAAAATACTGTCTAAAATGATACCATGTAATTTAAAATGCAAATACATAATTATTCCAATCTCTTAATATTATATATATTTACATACTTATATATAAATTTCTATATATATTTTTCCCTTGGAATGATCATTTAGAACTTAATAATTATTATAGTGCAGAAACTTCTAATTTACCAATTCTGTCTCTTTCATCTCTACTATTCAACCATAATTAAAATGTATACTTTTTATTTTAAAAAAGAGTACCTTGGGTATGGTCCCATCTTTTAAAGGTCTCTATGCATATATATCTTAAAAGATGGCACAGTGGTGTTCATCTATTTTTAATAAAGATTATAGATGTGAGACTTTTTTAAACCTTAATATTTGTAACTTTCTGCCTTTAAAAATTATTCTAAATCCTTGTGCTTTGTCTTAAGAAAATAGCTATGTGAATTTTCTTAAGAACTAGAAAAAGGGTGCCAAAATGGTCACTTGTGTGTGATACAAAAATCTGGAATCCTTTTCTTCTTGGTCCTCTTCTGTAACTTTTTAAATTTGAAAAAGTAAAGCATTAATAGTGAAGGTACTGTGTTATTTGAAATACACTCTCCCGCCTGGCTCCTTTCTGGGGGGGGGGTGCTCAGTCCAGGTAGTGCTAAAATCTCTAGATCTGTCTTAATAATTGGAGAAGCCACTGGCTCACAGTGAACACAGGTGTCTGGGGACGATTTAAGGGACAACTTCCTTTCCAGCAGAAGGCATAGAAGAGGTTTGGGCACACTGCAAACAGAGACAGGAGAAGTACCCTTTGAAAATAATTGCGATTGGGGCTCAGACCTTTTTCGGCAGCTTTATTGAGAGGTCATTCCCGCAGAATAACATTCACTCTTTTAAGGTGAACAGTTCAGTGGTATTTTAGTAGATGCCCCAAGCTGTAAAACCATCAGCAGTCTCTGCTTCCCACCTCACCCCCAAAAGAAACCTCGTACTCCATTCCTCTCTCCCACCAGCCCCAGGCAAGCACAAGTGTCCTTTCTGTCTCTGTAGATTTGCTTATTCTGGACATTTCATATCAATGGACTCATACACATGTGGTTTTTTTTGACCGGCTTCCTTCACTCAGCATGTTTTCAAGGGTCACCCGCACGGTGGCACGTATCAGCACTTCGCCTCTTTTTAATGCCACGTAACATCCCATTGTATGGATATATCACATTTTGTTTGTCCGTTCATCCCGTGATGAACAATCTGGTTGTTTCTCCATCTCAACTATCGTGAATAATGCTACCGCAAATATCCAGTAGCAAGGCTTTGTGTGGACGTCGGTTTTCAGTTTGGGGTGTGTACCTAGGGAGAGATTTGCTGGATCATATGGTCATTCTTTGTTCTGAAGCTCAAACGTCTAAACTTCCTTCGTCTCCTTTGTTCCCAGGCGGAGATGGTGCACAGCGCCTTCCAGGCCCAGCGGGCGTTCCTTCTGATGGCTTCGCAGTTCCAACAACCCCAAGAGGTAAGAGTGTATGTGGAGAGGCAGGGCTGCCTAGAGAACAGGCAGTAGTGAGAGACAGACAACAAGGAGGGAGCAGAACCATTTCACGCCCGAGATGAGTTCTATAGCACGTAGATACGTTTCTAATCGAGGTCATGGTGTGGAACATTCCTTCTGCTTCGTCATCTTATTGTGGTCAAATTCCTACTGTAATATCACCTGTTTAAAAGGTCAATTCATTTATGTCATCTGCAGCCCATTATTTTTCTTTTATTGAAATATAGTTGACATATACGGTGTTATATTGGTTTCACGTGTAGGACCCGGTGAATCGACAGTTCTATGCATTACGCAGTGATCACCACGATTAAGTGTAGTTTCCCTCTGGCACCGTGATAAAGAAGATGTGATGAGATAGATAATTGGATGGATGGATGGGTGGATGGACGGACGGACAGACAGACACCGTGGAGTACTAGCCATAAAAGAGAATGTAGCCTGTTCTTTTTACTAGTCTCACAACCATTTTATAACCAAGGAAGTATTTACTACTTTTTAGTTCACATTTTGTGCTATTTTGTCATCAAAACTTATTCACATCTCTCATTATCTGTAAACTGCATGTATGGATTTGGTTAGCTACTATTTCGTAGAGTGGATAGGCTAAGCCAGTGCTTCTTAAATGTATTGTGCATGTGGGTCATCTAGAGAGAGTCCGTGCAGTTTCTAACAACTTTTAACCTACTATCATATTGCCACATAAGGCCCAGAGTAAACTTTAATATAAACATAGTGGTGGATATTAAGAGCAAAGTGGTGGTTGGCAGGGGTCCTTCCCATTCCCCAGGCCATTATAAACTTCCCACTTTCTAAACCCAGTGCCCCCCACTCCCCACCTGGCCCAAACTACAGACATCACATTGTGTAAATAACCCCATCATGCTCTCTACCAAGGCTTCATGATAACAATATTTTGACATTGCCGATAGGGTTGTAAATGAAATTATCCATTAAGAAGTAGATCTATGACCAGTATACATTGCTAAATAAGAAAAAAAAAGAATTCTTGTTTTGACTAAATATTCTGATTCTGAAGTTTGGTGACAAACTATCTGAATGATAATTGGAGTCCCCAGAAATTGCAGTTACATTTGTTACGATGCAATGGAGAAATTAAGTTTGCTCATCAGCTGACCTTGAGATGGGGAGATTATCCTGGATTATTGGTGTGGGCTTTATGTAATCGTAAGGGTCCTGCTCTGTGGAGTAGAACCAGGAGAAGAGTCAGAGTCAGAAATCTGACGTCATGCTGCAGGCTTCGGAGATGGAGGGAGGGTCCACAAGGCAAGGAATAAGGAAACTGTAGAAGCTAGAAAAAGCAAGGAAAGACATTCACCTGTAGAACCCCTCAAAGGAATGCAGTCTTGTTGACCCCTTGATTTGAGACCCATTTTGGACCTCTGTCTTTCAGAACCGGAAAATCATATACTTGTGTTGTTACAAAGCCACTACATCTGTGGTTAATTTCTTGCACCATAACAGAAACTATAAGCCCCAGGGAAATACCGCAGCATTCTCACTGGGATGGCAAACACCGAAAAGTCTGACAATGTCATATGTTAAGAATGGGGAAGACGGGAGGTGTCATGCTATGCTGGTGATGGGCGATAAATTAGTACATCTTCTTTGGGAAAAAAAATTAGTGGGAAAGAAAAAGATAGTTGGATATTTATTATAATATAATAGCTTAAGTTGACTAGCTCCCTTTAAATTCTGAAACAAACTCCCGAAATGAAAAAGTTTTGCTGAGGATCTTGAGAAACTAGGGCTTTGACTTTCAGGGGAGGATGGGGGCAAGACCCGAGACCCCCAGCCCTCCCTGGAACAGCTGTCGTACAGTGGAATCACCCAGAACATTTTTTTAAAATAGCAGCTCATGGATCTCACTTCAGAAGGGTCTGGTTTGATTGGTCTGAGGCGTGATCTTGGCCTTGAGGGTTTTGTGGGCTTCTCGGGAAATTCATACTTGCAGCCAGAGCTTCCGTGGATCTGTCACTTCCCTCGTGTGACATGGGGAGTCAGCACGCAGCCCCGGCAGGCAGCTTTGTAAGGATGGTGAGATCGTGTGCTCTGCTATGGCTTCTTTTCCCTCCCTGGCCTTCTCAATCCCTGCTTTTTCTTCCCCCTTTGCAAAAGAGAACAGTGAAACTGGAAAAATCACAATGTAGTGCATTCTAGGTACAGCCCTAGCGCAGCTTTCCTGTGATTAAAATGGGAGACATGACTTCAGTGCATCACTGGGAGTCTTAGACGGAGGGGAGAACTGTGACTTTCCTTGCTGATGGCCTGCCCACTCTTTTCTAGAGAGACCTCTCCATTGGCCTTGCAGACCTTGCACCTAGAAGTCACTCATTAGGGGCTCCTGGGTGGCTCAGCGGGTTAAAGCCTCTGCCTTCGCCTCAGGTCATGATCCCGGGATCCTGGGATCGAGCCCCACATCGGGCTCTCTGCACTGCGGAGAGCCTGCTTCCTCCTCTCTCTCTCCCTGCTTGTGATCTCTGTCTGTCAAATAAATAAATAAAATCTTTAAAAAAAAAAAAAAAGTCACTCATTAAATATTGGGTGAATGAGGACACGTGAGCACACAAATGAATGCAGTAGAATCGTGGCTTCCCCAAACGAGCTGTAGTTGGGGACACGTGTGGCTGTACAGATTCCTGGGTGTAGCCACTGTAGTTCCCCCTTCTTACGCTACTGCTTTCTTGGTAAAAGGGGGCTCGCACCCAGGAAGTGTTTTCTATAGCACTCACCACAGTGCTCCAGCAGGCCCAGGGTGGCACAATGCGAAGCCATTTTTGGATGTCCACCTCCATTTCTGTCCCCTACATCTTTTTTTTAATAATTTTTTTATTTTATTTATTTTATTATTTTATTTTTTATAAGCATATAATGTATTATTAGCCCTTAGGCTAATTAGGGGTACACGTCTGTGAATCACCAGGTTTACACACTTCACAGCACTCACCATAGCACATACCCTCCCCAATGTCCATAACCCAACCACCCTCTCCCTCCCCATCTCCCCCTGGCAACCCTCTGTTTTGTGAGATTAAGAATCTCTTATGGGGCGCCTGGGTGGCTCAGTGGTTAAAGCCTCTGCCTTCGGCTCGGGTCATGATCCCGGGGTCCTGGGATCGAGCCTCACATCGGGCTCTCTGCTCAGCAGGGAGCCTGCCTCCTCCTCCTCTCTCTCTCTGCCTGCCTCTCTGCCTACTCGTGATCTGTCAAATAAATAAAAATCTTAAAAATAAATAAATAAATAAATAAATAAATAAAAAACAATGAGGTCAAAAAAAAAAAAAAAAAAGAATCTCTTATGATTTGTCTCCCTCCCGATCCCTTCTTGTTTCATTTATTCTTTTCCTACCCCCCAAGCCCCCCACGTTGCATCTCCACTTCCTGATATCAGGGAGATCATATGATAATTGTCTTTCTCTGACTGACTTATTTTGCTCTAGTTCCATCCACGTCATCGCAAATGGCAAGATTTCATTTCTTTTGATGGCTGCATAGTATTCCACTGTATATATGGACCACATCTTCTTTATCCACTCATCTGTTGGTGGACATCTAGGTTCTCTCCATAGTTTGGCTATTGTGGTCTCCTGCATCTTTATCCACAGCACTGCCCTAGCACGTCCACTAGACACAAAAGCAGACTGGAGAGGTCAGCAGTGGTGACTATCATAGTCCACAGCCAGGCCTGGATTTTCCCCATGTGCGTTCTAGAAGATACAGCATAAAGGAAATCACTGTGAACAGGTGGAATTTCTCATAGCAATGATGTGATACCCATCCACATCTTCCTCCCTTCCTTCTTTTAGGAGAATAATAACTCCTGTAATTTTAATTCTCTGGTTTGTGGCAGTAGCTCCCAAACGTTAGTGTGTATGAGAATCACATCTGGGGTTGTTAAAACACAGATTTCTGGGCCCCTTTCGTAGGTTCTGATTCAGGAGCTCTTGGTTGAGACCCAAGCATCCGCATTTCTTTAAAAAGTTCCTATGTGATGGTGACGTACCTGTCCAGGGACCACACACCTGAGAAACCTGTGGAAGGTGGGTTGCACTCAGTTACCTCCTCTAGCTCAAATTTATTTTAGATGCTTCAGGCTCTCATTTCCAGTTGTCTCTTGGTCACTAATTCTCAAACTTTAATCTTCCTTGGAATTACCTGAAGGTCTTGTTGAAGGGCAAAGTCTGGTTTAGTAGATCTGGGGTAGGACCTGAGAGTCCGCATTTCTAGCCAGCTCCTAGGTAATGGTAATGCTGGTCGTTTGTTGCTAAACTGTGAACAGCAAGAAGGTAGACATCACCACCGGACATCCTCACAAGCACAAAATCCTGTAGTAGTCAAATATCCAACCTTTGCTCTTTCCTCCTGACATTTCCGTATCAAAGCAGGCAGGGTTATGCGACAGTAACAGACATCTTTAAAATCCTAGTGACTCACAACAGCAGTGGCTTATTTCTTACCCCCACTACATGGCTGTTACAAGGTGGCTTACTTTCTACTGGCTGAGTTACTAAGTAATGACTCCTGTATTTATTTCCTTAGAGTTGTAATAGGGATCCAGGAGAAAATGGTAGAGAATGAATCTTTAGTAGGAGCTTCAGGCATCGGGAAGGGAAAATATGTTATTTCATGTATATATATATATTTTTTTTTTAACTACTTTATTGTTTGAGGAAAGAATACTATGGATTCCCTGTAGCATATCTCCAGGGGCATCATAGTTGATTAGTACTATTTTTTTATGTTTATATATGTGTGTATGTATGTGTGTGTATATATATTTTATTGTGTTATGTTAGTCACCATACAGTACATCATTAGTTTTTGATGTAGTGTTCCATGATTCATTGTTTGCATATAACACCAGTGCTCCCTGCAATCCGTGCCCTCCTTAATACCCATCACTGGGCTAACCCATCTCCCAACCCCTCTCCCCTCTAAAACCT